TTGGTGCGCTTCCCTGACTCGCGCACTCCCCTCCTCATCTCCCCCACCCCCAAAAAAAACAAGAATACGCCTCAAGAGCGCCCGGCGAGCGCGCCCAGAAGGGCAAAAAGCACCGCACAAATAGATCAAGGAGCCCTCAAGTTATCCCCCAAGAACCCCCAAGGAAGCACCCGAAACGTCCTAGTTGGCCCAGGCTGTCGACAAGCCTCCGAGCGATGGAACCACACAGCTGCCATGAAAAAAACATCCACGAGGCCCCCAGCGTGTCGCGACGATGCAAGGTGTTACCAGACATGCCAAGCCCCTTGGCTAATACGCGGAGCGTTCAGTTCAACAGACTTATGGATTATGGAGAAACAGTGATGACATGAGCGTAGGGTATATACTATTGTTGAGTCATAACAAATAATAAGCAATAGCACGATGATAACATTAGAAACGGAAGCTCGGCAAACCCAGCCCATGGAACCTTCTGAAGTAGCGCAGTAGCGTCCTTCACCCGGAGCTTCATCTTCTCTTGGTAGAACGAGCGGGATTCCTCTGAGTACGACTGCTTCGCATCCGTCTCGAACACCATCAGCGGCTGGGCCATATCGTTCAACTCCTTAATGTTGTCATTCAAGGATTTCCTCAAGTTCTCGGTGCGACCGTCCATCACTGCGACGTCCCTCTGCTGCCCGTGCTTGCTCACGCTGCCACTTGCAAGCGACGTTCCCTTTTTATTGTCAGTGCGGGTGTTGTCCACGTCGTGCAGGGCACTCTTCCCACTCGGGTTGGGAAGAACTCGCTGGGGCTTCGGGTCGGCGGACTTGCCCTGGGAAGAGGTGGCCGGCTTCGCTTTCGGTTTCGCATCCGTTTTCCTTCCCAGGAGTTTGGCCACTGCATCGTCTTCATCTTCATTGCCGCTCGAGTCGACTGCCATGTCATCGTCGCTATCGCCCGCGGTGGTCTGCCATTTCGAAGATGCTGCGCCTGAAGCGGCGCCTGTGTTCTGGCCAGCTTGAATGCTCTGGATCAGCGCCACTAGGTCCTCTGATGCGATGGCCTCCTTCTCGACCTTCTCCTTGTCCTTGCTGAATACATCTGAGATGGCCTTGAACTTGTTCTCTGCCTGGTCAGCAGCGATGACGTTCGAGCCGTCCTCGACCCTCTTCCGGAGCTGAACTGCCTTCTTCGTAAAATCTTTCACGTTATGGTGTCCTTTCTTTGTGAGGCGCACCCAGACGCCTTCTTTCTCGGTGCCATCGTCCACAACCTCCTATGGGGGGCGCCCTACACTCGATGACGTTTGCGGCCCGCCCCCCCCCCCCCTCTCCGGGCCCCGATCCCCCCCCCCGACTCTCATCGGCCGAAAGACGGGGCGGGGTGGAGGGCGACCCGCGTCTATCGTATATTCGAGTGTAAGACCCAGCGAGCCTTGACGAACTTCGCGTTCTTGATCTTCTCAGGGTCGCCAGCGTTCTCCTCCAAGAACGTGTCCTTCTCCACGAAGTCCCAATCGTTCGCCCACTCCCGGCCCCTCTCCTCTATGGCGTCCACGACCTGCGCAGCCTCGAGCCCTTTCTTGTCCCTGACCCTATTCTTGCCAGGGTTCTCGATCTTGACCTTGATCCAATACTTCCGAGACCTCAAGAAGGGCTTGTGGATGTTGATCTCGTCTTTGATGGCCTCCTTCATGAAGGCATTAATGTTCTTGAACTTGAGGTTGTAACCTCCGCCGAGATCCCAGCGCAATAGCACGTGCATCTACAATGTAACAATGTATTAGAGAGAGAGATCTCAAAGCACCAAGTCTTCCCCTTCGGGGAGGGCTTTGCCCCCCCCTCCCCCCACCCCCTACCTGGACCTGGACGGGGGGGTCCCCCGAGGGGGTGGGGCGTCCAAGATGGTCCAAGATGGCGTCCAAGATGGCCCAAGATGAGCTCGAAGACGGCTCAAGATCTCCATCCCAATGCGTTTCCAAATAGCTCCCAGGATGCTCCAAGAGACCCCGAGACCGCTCCGATACGGCCGCGAGTGGCCACGGAGCCATAGAGCTCTCCAAGGAGGCCCCAAAGAGGTCCAAACTCCTCCAACACTCAAGGAAAATCGCTGTGTGTTGTACTCTCGCTTTTTCGCCTCCGAGGCTTCAAGATGGCTCCGAGATGGCCCGAGAGGGCTCCAGGAGAGATCCACGAGAGCCCCAAGACGGCCCCAAGAGCGCTCCAAGAGCGCCCCAAGACGGCCCCGCGCCCAGTCCCAGTCGACCCCCAAGGGAGCCGACGGTCCCGAACGCAGTCCCAGCCGACCCCCATCGTTTCTGGATGGTGGATGGGTGGATGGGCTTATGGGGATCCGGATACGGATACGGCATGCGGTATACGCGAAGCGTCAACAATTCACAACGAAGGCAGAAAGGCAGACGAAGCATTGACAGCGATAAAGAGAGATCTCACAACTATTGCGTGCGGTGTGGTAGCGATACGCGTCGTGTTCGCATGATGGTGAGTCTGAGTCATGATTGAGTCTGAATCATGGAGCGGTCTCTCCTGAGAACTCGAGCGGGTCCTGCGTGAAACACCCCAACCACATGCCAAATACATGATATTTCTGCATGTATACTGTCTGGACCGAGTGGGGCGATCAGCCATGGGGTTATGGGGCTTTGGGCTATGGGAAAAAGCACGGAACACGAACACTGAAAGACCCAAGGCGACGGGGTGGCAAATTGCATTTTGCATCTCAGCCGCTGCCAATCCTGAAATAGTAATGCTTCGCCATGTTGGCGCACCCCCCTGCTACGCTTTCGACGCAGGGGAGAAGGAAAAAACGAGAAACACGCTTCGCTCGCTGCGGATGCTGTGACCCTGCGAGATCTGTCAACAACTTGACGTTCGTGTCTGCAAGAAGACCCCTGAACTGCTCAATCGGAAACCCTTGGGCCATGAGGGCTTCGGCCCCTGACAAAAGCCTGAAGTGCTGACCGAAAAGAAACATCTTTGTACTCGTCGTCAAAGTGGGGAGGAAGCTCCTCTCGCCCTTGCGCCAGATCTTGGAGCACCTGCCGATGGCCTGGCCGACGTCCACCCCCTCGGCGCCTGGAAACACGCTCTGGACGAACGCCAGGAGGTTCTTCTCGCGCGCTGGCAAGCCCTGGCGCAAACAGCCCATCCCCCATGCCCCATGCCGCATGCCCATTACGCATCTGATCGGCTATCCACTGGGGCGCCTATCACGAAACGAAGTGCCCTCTTAAACCTCCTAGAGCCCTAAATACTGAACCTCTTCCCCTCCGTAAGTTTGTTAGGGGGGCCCCCCTCCACCCCTTCCCCAACGCCAATCAGGGCTCGGGCGGGAGCGGGGCCCAGGGGGCCCGCCAATCAGAGCACCCAAGATTGCCCAGGACGCGTGCACTGCGGCCGCAGATGCACCAACGACTTTCATCGCAGAAGCGCGCGATTCAATGCCATATGCCATATAGTATTCTCTTGACACAACATATCCTAAGTATAAGATATACATATATATAGAGACTATAAATAATATTATATATAAGATATAAGGCCCAAGACCCCACGAGGCCCCGATGGTGAGACCAAGAGGGCGGCGCGCAGCGGGACATTCCGAGGCCTCAAGGGGGCGCAAGAAGCCTAAAGAAAGCCACAATCCACTCCCAAGACAACCGCCTGCTGGCAGACCCCAGGAGACAACCCAAAGGCCCATAGGTCCTTGTTCCATACCTCTGGGTCGATAGCGTGTCGGGAGAACTAATGTGATGATGTCAAACGCAATCGCGCGCGCCTCTTCCTCCTCCTCCGCCCTCTTCTCATCCCCCTCCCCAAAACTTTGCATCCCCCCTCTTCCACAGCCACCGATCAAAGCTCAAGGCTCAGTGCAACCGCTCAAGGCTGAAGGCTCAAAGCCTCGAAACTCAAGGTTGGCGCTTAGTCCAACGACCGACAATCTATCGACGCTGCCCCCCCTAGCATTGCGCCCCCTACAATTTGCCGACGTTTTGGCGAGGTGCCCGGCCCCGCCCCGCCTTGAAGTCCATGGGCGCTTCCACCGGCGCGGTGCACTGGACAGACTCCCATCGCAATCTGGCAGCGGCCCATTCCTGCATGGCCTTCTTCATGGCTGTTGGCGACCACGGTGTCTGAGAATGGAGGTCACGAGACGCCATGTCTTTCGCAACCAACTCATCGTCTGCTGGCAAGAGCATATCCCAGAGGTCAGGTGGGGAGCACCGCATCTGCCAGAGGACGTTCAGGAACAGGCCGAACGTGTCTTCTATGGAGCGCAACTTGAAATCGTAGAAAGGCGCGTTCGACCTGCCCCAACAACAGACAGCGGGAGAACGGCCAAGAGAGAGCAAGAGAAATTAATAATGATAGACTTGGGGATATCCATGCGACTGGTATGCTCCCCGGGCCAGGTCCCCCCGCCTGTCTCCCACGTGGCGCGCGCGCCTCAGAAGTCGAGGCCACTGGCTAGAAACAACGTGACAAGCTGACGCGACATGCTCGCGCGAACACCTGCTACCCTTCCCACCTGAGCCCCAGCACGTAGAATCGCTTCCGCGATTGCGGTAGCCCATGAAGAATACTGTTCAGAAACACGCCCTGCAGCTCAAAGTGCCGCGACGCGAGCTCAGACCTGGCTACGTCCCAATTGGTATCACCAGCCTGCCCGCACCCCCTCTCGAAAGAAACGCGATAATGATGTCAGTAGCGCAGCCCAAACGCTCCAGCGCCCTCCTCTGACCTCGACATGGACGGGCGGCCTGTTCGCATCATGCACTGCCAGCAAGGGATATTGTTACATCATCTAGGCGGAGTGCTGGTTTTTCTCAGTAGCGAGGAACGACGATCAGACGATCAGGCGTGAACAGCGATTCCACGTGACCACAAACACAGGTGATATGATATAGGCACAGTGTAATACAGCGTTGCTTAGGGTTGTTTCCTGAGGCAAGAGGAGCTGTTCATCGAGAATCGCGCCCCCCCCTCCCCGCCCGGCAC